GCTGCCAGCTTCATAGGGAAGGGACGTATGGCGTGACGCCACCCCGTACCTTGCTCTGTCCGTAAGGGAGGGATTCGCACGGGTCCCCGGGGAAGCTATGACCCGCTTCCCCGGGTAGGGGAAGTAGTCGAAGATGAGGGTGGCGGAGCATCTCTTACAGAAATTCTCTGTCCAAGGTTAAAGCCCCGCCCCTCCCGTCAAAGCTGGTGTCTTGCCATCGCGCAAGCACATCTTTTGGATGGGTGTAGGCAGAGACAGTCGCGTGTATCACAGTGGCCTCTTAAAACAGTTGGCCTGGGACAGGCTGGCTTCTCTTTCCAGGCAGCCCTGAGAAAAGGGTCTCGTCACCCCGGTGCAAGGGGATCCCCACCTCCACCTATTCACAAGGGAGGGCCCAGTGGCACCCTTTCACTGGCGAGGGTTGAGTGGCCGTGGGACAATAAGAAGTGTTGGTCTGTGCCTGTTTAAACCAGCGGAGGGGTTTCTCCGGGCCAGTACAGAGTCCCTTGAGGAGGCTTACAGGACTGTGGGTCATCTTATGTAACACAAGATGTGTATGTCCTCTATAAATGCAACCAAGTCATGTAAACGCTTGATAGCTGGTGAAAGCAACTTACATCCATTGAACACAGACAATAAAATAATGGCAAACAAACTTTTGTTAACCTCTAACAATGCCATCGGCACCACACAAGGTATCGAAGGCTGGAAAACTAAAGAAAGCAGACCTTCCAAAGACTGGAGGACTAAGCTAGAATTACATTTGCTGTGTTTCTCTTTTTGTGGCCATTACCTCAAAAAGCAATAAATAATATGGCAAGTTCGGAGAGGTTCTGAAAGTTGTGAAAGTTATGAAAATAGAGACATTTTGAAAGAGGCAAAAATGAGTCAGTAAGGAAGGATTGTGAAGACAGGTTTTGCGGAACACAAAAGGTGCTCATGTAGCACATAGGATGGATGAGAGAACTGGAGAGGACAGGCTCATACAAAAGCAAGATTGGATTTAAAAGTAAAACCAAGCGAATTATAAGTGATTCAAACAATAAGGAGAATTCAGAGTATTGCAGAAGCAGCCATATGGAACCGTCTGTAGCATCCACAATGCCACTTCTCCTGGTTTAATAACAAGTCTCAAAATACTTTATTTTTCTTAAAGCCCCCGCTCCTAGAATAAGGTCACTTTGTGAGGCTAGTTTTCATGACTGAGAAGAAATGCTAATGAATAAGACACAGCTTGTGTCCAGGATCAGCAACGTACACTGAAAGTCCTTCTAGTAGATTTCTGTTCCTTGTGTGGTTTTGTTCAAAGCTGGCACTGATGGGCTAGAATCTTGCAAAGTAATTACAAAATAATGATCAATTAATGCATATATTAATAATAAGTCATAATTAATGTGCCGACACATGGGACTATTCTATAAATCATAATTACGGCTGGCAATCAACTTTATAGTGCACTTTTACAATTAAGAAGTTGTGGTATAAAAGAGGAAAAAAAAGGAACATTCATACAAGCCAGATCCCTATTTAAAATCAAAGGATATCTGAGCTTCATTTTAAAACAAATACAGAATAACTATTTGAGACTCATGCTGTATACAATTGTAGTATATGTGTGTAGTCTCTAGAGTACTTTAAAGAGCGTTATTAATGTGGCAAGGTCAAGCACACCAAAGTTAGGAAATGCCAGGATTAAGAGCAGCCTAAATTAATTAGTTTAATGCCATTTTGCAGATCCATTGTGAGATCATCTTTAAGTAGATGGTCATAGCTTATCACATTCTAGCCACACATCGATCACAGCCACGGAGTCCTAGCCTCAGTATTCCTAACCCAAGGGTCTGTGCGCTTTACTCCAGGATCAGAAGGGGATTGCACTCTAATGGCTGAAGAAAACCGTGCTGTTCATCTTTTCACGTTGAACTGATTCTGTTTATCCCTGCCAACTGGGACTGCCCTTATTTTTCCCAGTCCCAGCGGTTTATCTCACTCTCATTTTTCTTGCATTCCTATTTCCACTCCTGAACTCCAGGCTTGGTCTTTCTGCCCAGGTCTGCATGCTGTCAGAGTCACAGGCTCCTCTGAGAAGCAGCATCTCCTCTGCACACGGTTCTAACCCTTTGCCCAACCACTTCCAGTTTTCCACACCCGACTCTTCTTCCGGCCTACCAAAACCCTTCCTAATCCCAGTGGCATCCACTGTCAGCCTGCCTCCCTCCAGCTACAGCGGGCCAACCCCCAGCTGGCTGTGGTGAAGACTGAGACGAGGTTCCCACTTTCAGCCCCTGCCTTCCCTTTAATTATTGTGTTGTGAAACACCAGAAAGTGCATGGATGTGTAGAATAAGATCAGCTGCTTGTTAACTTTGGGAGAGAAAGACGTACGGTAAATGTGCTGCAAAGATCATACAGTGATGGACTAGAGAAGCCTGCTTCAGTCATGGAACATCTCTCAGAAAGGAAGGCTGAAGAATTCTGGAACCAGCAATGGACGAATAAAGTAGATTTCACAAAGAAGAATAAATCCGTCAGAATTGCACCCGATTTATTTTAAGAACCTGGAGGATCTTGGGAAATACGTTGCTGCAAGGCTATGCTATGCTGCAAGGAGTTTTTTCACATACACCCTGCGGCTACCTGTCTGCTGTTCAGAAGTCAAAGCCAAGGAGCCTGGTAAAAGGGTGCTTCGCTCGGTGTCCAGCATTGCCTTACACAAGCTGCTGCACACCACAACGATTTCTAACTAACTTTTGCAAATGCTTCTTAAAGATACAGTTCTCCCTTTACAGTCCAGCTCCTTGTCTTCTGTGTTTTCTTTACAGGATTCTAGTTTCAGTTTCCTTGCATAGAAACTTTTCTCCTTCCTTTTTATCTCCATGTTCAATCCTGCCTAGCAAACTGGTTCATATTGCTGCTCTTCTTGCGCAACCAGTGCCAGGCACCCTTTCCAATTCCCAGCCGGTTTTAATGTCCTCACTCAGTCCAGAGTGAGTCAGTCCAGCCAGAATTCTTGATTCTATTGACTCCTTTCCATTCCCCTCGTTTTTTTTTCTCCCCGCTTTATGCATTTTCATC